CTATGTAACTGTTTTAGTCCGGAAGCCCTCCTGAAACCTGTTCAACACCACAGCAACTTGCAAACCTTTACTGACAGATGACTGGTGGCTAAGCATGAGGCTCATTGGTTGGAACTGAACCTAGATCTTCTGCATGGAAGACAAGAGTACTACCACTGAACCACCATTGTCCCAAAAATATATATGGGGGAGAAATTTATCTGCCATACTAGGGATTAAATAACTGAATTTTGACTCAATATTAGATACTAATTTTTTTCATGAGATGCTATTTTCTCCTTTTTTAGCTAGCTGCAACAATGTGATTTATACAAGGGATATGTCTGATTCTTAGTTATCTGATGCCTCAGATGCAAAGTGAGGATGGTAATATGTGAGTCATACCTTACCAGGTGTCGTGAAGAATAAACATTCTCTGTGTTCCCAAAGATTGTTGGTGAAGTTTCAAAAAATGGTACTTAGCTTTCTTAATTCTTTCTGACATCTAATTATATCTGTGTGCAGTTTTTGTCATGGATTTGTTGGCATCTGTTGTTTTTTTTTTGGGGGGGGCTACTTTTAGTATAAGAAAGGAAAAAATAGTTACACTCATTCTATATGGAATTGGTCAGAACTGTCAGAATATTTGTGCTAGATGGACTTTTAACATTTCTTAGAATGAAAATTAGTAAGAATCTAGTTTTTATGTCCTGGAACAGGCAGTTGTATAAAAGCTCTAAAAGGTGATCTTCTCTGTTTTTTGGATTACAAACTGTGTTGTTAACTGAAAGGCTGGCAGTTCAAATCGACCAGTCGCTCCCCAGGAGAAAAATGAGGCTTTCTGCTCCCATAGATATTTACAACCTTAGAAACCCTGCTCAGAATCGACTCAATGGCACTCAACCACCTCCACCATGTATGGCACTGTAGGATAAGCACTGGACTGCAATGTTGGTTTGGACTGCAAAGTCGATGGTTCAAACCCACCAGTCACTCCTCAGATACCCTATACAGGGTCTCTGTGAGTCAGAAGTGACTGGACAGCACTTAACAACAACAACAATTGGGTTTTCTAAAATAATAATAATAATAATAATCCTAGAAGTTTATTTGATTCTGAATATTGTTCTAAGATGCACTTTAGTAATTGCAACCATTGACATTCTTATTGATAAAGACAAAGAGTGAAATGGTAGGTAAAATTCCTAGTTTAGATTGCTGAAGCTGAAGCTTTAAGTTGCACCAGGTCATAAATACATCAACATAGAGTTCCAGGCATAACACATAGGTAGAATACATAGTTCAAAATTTCCAAATACCCTGCTTAGTCTTTGGGAGCAGAGAAATTGTTAAACAGATACTTTATTTAATAATTAACAACAGGTGAAGTACAGTAACCCATTTTCCAAATAGCACAGAATATCCCATTTCAGAATACTATGTCTTTCCATCCTGCTAATACTGAATGATTAATGGTGGAGGGTTTAGGCGAAAGGGCTAAAGATAAGATTTCAGGGTTTTCTCATAGCTGCCCCAATCTTTCCACAACTTCTTACACTCCAGTGAGTCCACAGGTCCAAGCAAGAGTGAGTTGGAGCGGTGAACTACAAGACCAGTTTAACTGTGGTTCGTTAGTGTTCTTCCAGACTGTGCATTTCTTTATGTAGCCTGGGTGAATGGTTTGTGTCCATTTAGGGATTTGACACAAGAACACCTTCAGGCAGTGATCACTTGCAGGTAGAACCATCCCAAATGTTGGCAGAGACCAGGGCAAAAATATCATTGGAGGTCCATATGCCATATGTCCAATCTTTAGAAATTATACATCAAAATAACAAAATGTTAAATAAACTATTTCTTATCTGCTACTTTGACACATACTTTCTTAACAATTGGAAGGCGAGATGTTTATTCAGATTTCTTAGACTATGAAGAGTTTGTACTGGACCTTAACTCTGAACTAGTCCTGATCTATTCCTTCCTGCTCTCCATGTCTCTGCCAGCCCTGAGCTCCAGCTTGCACTGCAAGGAGCCCCTCTACATGAGCATGTGAATTCCCCAGTGTGCATTTCTAAGCCCGGTCACTAATCTACCCACACATATTCACCCTTTGCTACCCCTTGTGCTTCAAGGTGAGCATTCATGATGCCACCTGCCTTCAATAGTTTGGAGTATATCCTGTAGTGGATTCTAGTCATTTCTTGGTTCCTGGGACAAAGCTGTGGAGGAAGGTCAGAAAGAGATTCCCTTTGCTGGGACTAAAGTTCTCACTCTAGGCTATGTTCAAAACCAAGCCCATTGCACCAAATTAATTCCGACTCATAGAGACCCTATTGGATAGTAGAACTGCCCTACAGGGTTTCCAAGGCTAGAATTCTTAATGGAATCAGACTGCCACATCTTTCTCTCATGGAGTGGCTGGTGGTTAGCAATGGAGTGCTTCACTATGCCACATGGGTTCCTTCTGTGTTAAGTGTTGTTGAGTCATCTCTGACTGCATAGGGTTTCTGAGGAGCAACTGGTGTGTTCGAACCACCAACCTTGAGGTTAGTAGTCCAGTGCTTATGCTACAGCGCCACACCATGACTCCTTCTAGGCTGTATAAAAGGTCAAAAAATGAATCACGTCTATATCACGGCAGAGTAGTCTTCCTACTTTCCCATAAATAGCAATACTTTTGTTATAACAACCTTTGCCCCACTTTTTTAGGCTTTAATGCTCATCAATTGGAGGAAGGGATCATATTTTTACTCCATGAGAAAGTTCATAGATTAATCATATGTAAGATGGCGTGTAATTTATGGGACCTCTCCAAGTAAAAACAGAACATAATTTAGTATCCACTTTACACTGCAATCCTGTTCTTAAGAAACAATATTGTTGAAGAAAGCAACTTTGCAAGAATCTTGGAAATCAGCAGATGAAAAAAATCCACTGACTTCAGTTTTCTTCAAACGAATAAACTCTTAAGAAGAAGAATTTGAGGATCTGGATTAAAAAGAACATTTCATTGCCATTTGTTATGCAGGCAGTCCCTGGATTAAGAATGAGTTCCGTTCCCATCTATCTTTAAATTTAATTTGTACATAAATCGGAACAATCAGGTACGGTTTGTATTTATTGTCAGTTAGTCAGATATTTATCTTAGTAGGTAGTATATAATATACTTTTCTATGCATACAAAAACATTAAAGAAGCACTTCCAGATATACTAATACATCTTTAACATAATAATATAATAATAATAATGTACAGGTAGCACCTGTTTGTTATTATGAACCACTGTATGTACTTCAAAAATTTAATATAATAGACTTTACCAATTGGTTCATAACTACAGGCTGTACTTAAATCAAATGTTCATAATTCGGGGACTGCTTATATACCTAAAAATGAAGTTTTTATTAAAAGCAGATCACATCAATTCGGGAAATTCATAAAATATATCTAAATACGCTGAATGAAAGGTATTTCTCATCAATTTAGATTCTTATAGCCTCATAATGATAAAATGCAAGATGAATTGATTTAGATCAGCTCTTCATTAAATTTCAGAATTAGCTTTTGGAATCCCATGTGTTGAAATGCACAAGACTTATTCCTGAGAATTGTGACAAAACCACGAGAGGATAAGGATAAAGTGCATTTTTGTCAGAAATAACACAGTCTGCCTTTGGTTTGTGCTAATAAACTATAAGACAACTTAAAATCTAATTTTAATACTGGAAATCCACCGTATTATAAGTAACCTCAAACTCTGTATGTTTTCAGCATTTTCATGTGTATTCTTTGGTGAGCCTGAAATTTAATTTGCTGTTTATGCTTCTAATGTAAATCTCCAGTTTCTGGTTGGCTACTCTGGCATTGAGCCAAAGCTGTACTTTATCTTTATCTTTTCTGATTTCTTACATCAGAAGAGACTGTTGGTTTGAATAACAAACATTCAATCGACTTGGACGTGGGATGGCAGGCAGCACAGACATTACCTGTTTACCTTTTATTGCCTTCTTTGAATTGGCTTTTCTGAGAACAAAACCAATAAGACATGCTGTTCCTTCATCTAGCTTTCACCCAGGTTATTTAT